GGCCGCGGGGAGGAGCTGCCTGCCCTAGGGAAGGAAGCGGCTCCACCTCTGCTCCGGCCTTCGCCAAGCCCTCCCGCAGGCCCTGCCAGCCCTCTGCTCCCTGCAACGGGAATGCTGTCCCGGGAGCAGCCCAAACCGCTCTGCACTGGGATCGTGGAGGAAGGGCCGGCAGGAGAGGCGCCTCCAGGCGTGTGAGCCCTCGGGACCCTCGCGCACAAATACCTGCAGTCTCCTCCTTTCCGTGATTTCTGTTTCCCGCGGCTGCGGATCAGAGCCCCGGCACGCGCTCCGCTGCACCCTTACACCCGGGACTCACACATCCAGTGAGAGCTGCAGTGCTTTTATCTCCTGGTGATCAGGAGACCATTTTGCCAGGTGTGGAAAGCTTGTGGTGCTATCACCTGCACTACTGCAAACACTCCTTGCATCCATAGGGAGAGGGAACTGCTGGGAGTCACCTCAGCACGACACCACCCTCCGGACAAGCCACCTGCCCATCTGCTCCTCGGCTGCTCACCTAGCACAGAGTATTTCAGACAAGGAGCCTTCTCCTTTATGCATCTGCAGAGACATCTGCTCTATTGATCAGCCTTACTGAAAGAGCATCTGTAACAGGATCACACCGCTCTCCTTGGAACTGGAACTACTTCCACACGAGAGACAGCACGTATGTATTGACGTACAGATCATGCATCTCATCTCTTCTCCCACAATAAATCCTAACAATAAATCATTCCTACACATGACTGTAAAGGGCAGGACTGGATTCAATGGCCAACAAAAACACCCGAAACTGGGCGTTACGTAAGACCAAAACTGATGGTATGTGCATGTATTTTACAATATATTTTACAATATATTACAAAATACACGATTGCTGTGTTTCTGCAGCATTTTCTGCATATATGGCAGTGCAAAATCCCGTGAGTTACCCCAGGGCTGGCAGTTCTGATTTCTGCACCCCTGGTTTGTGGTAGAGAAGCTTCCTGAGGGAGGGAGCAGCAGGTTTTGCTCGTTGCTTGAAGGTTCAGTGCAGAGTGGCCACGAGAGGGCATTGCCCAAGGAGAGAAGGGGTGAAAACGCAACCAGGGAAGGCAGTGAGTCGGTAACAAGGAGCAGGGATCCAACAGGTCATTCCATGTAAAGGAGGGGGCAAAACGGAAGCTTTTCCAAGCCAACCATGACTCGAAGCTGGCACCAAGGGGCACCAAAAGGGTATGCAGGGGGTGAGTAAGGAGGGAAGGACCAAGTCAAGGTCTGCAGCAGCCCACGGATGCGCAGATGTGCCACGGGAGAGGCCGCCCCTGCCTGCTCCGCACGGAGGCGGCGGAGAGGAGGACAAGGGCCATGCGCAACAAGCAGCCCTTTCCCAAAGAATGTCCCAGCGCGTATTTCATTTCACGAAGAGATGGGGTTGCCTGCATGAAGGGAGACAATCTGCCAAGCTTTTAATGCAGATAAGCAATGAGCAAAACAAACAAACAAACAAACAAAAAAACCCTAAAAACTCCCCCCAAAAGCAAACAAGCAAACAACCCATCCAACTGGCTCTTGGCTCCTTAGTCGAGAGCTCCATACACCTGAGAAGGAAGCCCTAAGTGCTTCATGCTGCACTGTGTAAACATCAACTCCCCTGAGCCATTATTGGCATTTGTTGGACAGGTATCCCGTGCAGGACATCAGGGTTCACCTTTTCAAGGCACATCTTACTTCTGATGATTGCATTTTTGAGCTAACAGGTGTTAACAGAATCAGAGCATGGTTGAGATTGGAAGAGACTTTGCAGTCACCACGTCCAGCCCCCTGGTCAAGCAGGACCACTCAGACCGCGTTGCTCAGGATCACATCCAAGCAGGTTTGAAGCTCTCCAGAGAAGGAGATTCCACAACCCACCTGGATAAGCTGCTCCAGTGCTCCTTCACCCTCACAGCCAAGAAGTTTCTCCTCAAACTCAGATGGAACTTCCCATGCTTCAGTTTGAGCCCGTTGCCTCTTGTCCTATTGCTGCCACCACTGAAAATGGTCTGGCCCTCTTGACACCTCCCTTAAGATACACATTGATAAGATCCTCTCTTGGCCCTCTCTTATTTAGGCTAAACCAGCCCAGCTCTCTTAGCCTCTCCTCATAGGACAAACATGGGATTTTATAGCATCACATGCAGCTTATAAAACAAAACTATATATAAACAAATAACAAGAAACAAGCATTCCTGCTCTGCTTTTCTGAGTTCCTGAGTGAGCTATGTCTGGAAATTCCCTGTTATATTCAGAGATTTTCAGCTGGACACATGCTTCTCATGAAACAGCATACATAAGATCAGGGCAAACATGAGGAGCCAAGGTTGGGTCTGCCTGCAAAGTCTTAATTTCCTCTATCAGTCCAGGATGGTCTGTATAGTGAGGATGGACAGTGTGTGCTTTATTGTAAGTAATACAGGGAGAAAACTGAGCAGTGGATCCATTGATTCATCATTAACTTGCTCTCTAGCCTTCGCCCGCTCCAAATAGCTCTTTCTAAAGCTAAGTCCAAGAAAGGTTTGGGAGAAAGTTCTCTTCAGCACCTTCATCCAAAAAAGCAGCGTTGAGGGAAGTGCTTCTTCCATCCCACACCATCTCCCACATCCCTCCAGTCCCCATCAGCAGGGCATAAATCAAAGACCTTTGGCACCAGACGAAGAAAGCATCATGTGAGTTGGCTGCAACAGTGCCCTGACATCATTTCAAAACCTTTCAGCTCAAGAAAAGAGCCATAATAATAATAATAATAATAATAATGACTTAGAGCCAAAGGGGCAATACATGGAACCCAGAGGAGCAAATGCTATTTTTAAAAGAACCTCTGAAGCTCCCTGTGGTCATGTGAGAAGTGCAGGATTCAGCCCTCCAGGGTGATCACTGTTATTACTTAGATTACAGGAGCAACACCCCAGAGACTGGAGCCCACGATGGGAGTCCTCTGGCCTGAAGAGCTCACAGGCTCAATAAGACCAGGTAGACAAGTGGAGTGAGAAGGAAAGTGCTTCTGTGAGGCTCAAGGGAGATTAAGAGACTGGCCCAAGGATACATGCAAAGCCTTTGACACATCCAGGATAACCTACGTCTCAGCATGCTTCTTTAATCATAAACACCTTACCTATCATCTGCTCAAGTTATTTCTGAATATCTTTTTAACTGAGATTTAAAGTGGACTCCATCCTAGTAATGCAGCATCAGGTATATCCTCTTTACACAATAAGTTCATTTTGGCTGCATTTGCATGAAGAGAAGGCAATTTCTGCCAACAAAGTCAAAGAATGCATATGGAGAAGCAAATACAAAATTGGTGGTAGTTGAAACTCTTGAATTCAAGAGGAAGCAGTAGCCTCCTAAGTCTATGCATAGAGCTGGAAGTCTCACTCATTTGCTCAGTTTATAAGTCAAGGCCAGACTCAAAGTGATCTTACAACTACCCTGCCATGTATTCCATCAAATATAGCAAAACATTTGTCCCATTTGTGTCATGAGATGATTGGAATAGACATTAATGAAGGAAAAAAGGCAATACTCAAGTGTGGTGCACAGAAACCGCCAAACCTGCCTCATGTTCTGTGGAAACCTTGACATTTTCCTGGAGGCAGGTCAGTGTTGACATGCAATGTTTAACCATGCCCATCATAAAATCCACTTGACGGGAATAAAAATTACACAGTACAAAAATCCACTCGACAGAAATGTTACTCATTAACAGTCCTTTACTTACAACAAAAATCTATTGCTTATGATACGCCCCAGTTGTGAATCTGAGAGGACACTGCCTGCCACGAGCAAGCTGTCCACGAGGTACCTCAAGTCTCATCTGCAGGAATAAATGACAACCTCTAAAGCTATGTGGTTTGTTTTTAATATAATTTCATTATTTCGTTGACCTTTGCTTTGACTATCAACATACAGAGAGCTCTGCTGATGGTCCATGGGTGGTAAGGCAGGATCAAGGCTGAGGCTGCCCAACCTACTCATGTGGCTCACAGAAGGTGTTGAGACTCATGCACACCTTGCAGGTGCAGTGATTCAGTTAAGAGACTTGAAAGGGTCTTGTGAGCGGTTTCTCAGTCCAGTGGGAGCCTGGCCTGGCTTCCTGAAACCGCCAGGATCCGCTTGGGAAGCGGCCTGGGAGCGCAACCGCAGCCATGTCCCGGGCTGATGAGGTCCCACAAAGCCTGTGCCCGGCCGCTGTCCCCAGGCCAACACCTCCAAGCAACAGCCTCTTCCCAGGACAGCGGCAAGGGCCGGACGGGGCCTCTCCCTCTGGGAATATGGGGAGAGGCAGTGAGGGGTCAGGGCCACCTCTGCCACAGCAGGCGCGTCTCCAAACGTCCTCCGGCTACAAGTCACGGGCGGCTTCACCTCCTGCCTGGGACAGGGCCCAGGAGCTCTCTGCAAGCACTAGGGATCCCCACAGACACTTGGGACCCCTGCAGATCCTCAGGATTCCTGCACGCCCTTGGGATCCTCACAGACACTTGGGACCCCTGCAGATCCTCAGGATTCCNGCCCTTGGGATCCTCACAGACACTTGGGACCCCTGCAGATCCTCAGGATTCCTGCACGCCCTTGGGATTCTCACAGACAGTGGGGATCCTTGCATGCCCTTAAGATCCCTGCAGACCCTCGGGATGCCCATATGTGCTCAAGATTCCTGTATGTCCTCAGGATCCTGCCAAGCTCGCTGGCACTCACAGACCCTTGGGATCCCCGCAGACCCTTGGGATCCCCTCAGATGCTACAGCCTCTCGGGACTCCCCGGCACCCTCAGGTCTCCCGCAGACTCCCGGGACCCCCCCAGCCCAGGGACCCTGCGTGTCCCCAGGACACCCGCGAGCGCCGGGAGCCCTACAGACACTCGCGGTTCCGCGGAGCCCCCCAAGCTCGCGGGCTGCGGGGGCTCGGAGCCCCGCGCCCCGCACCGCTGCCGCCGGGGACGTGGGACGGGACGGGCGCAGCCCGCGCCCCGCGGCCGGTACCTGACTCGGTCCCGCTCGGCCCGCCGCAGCTCCGCGTCCCGCTGCAGCACGTGGAAGATGGCGCGCGCCTCCTCGGCGCTCAGGAAGCCGAGGTCGGGCCCGCGGGGCGCCGCGC